GTTGTTGTAAAAAATTAGCATAGTGCGCTTACGAAAATACCTAGTGAGGGGAGGGTGTGGTTGGCAAACATAGAAGGTGCATGTTATTTGTGTAAAAATACACTACTGTTTGTGTTCCCTTAAACTGTCTTTCACTGTGGCTTGTTTCCTTATGTGTTTTGTAATTTTGATTTATAGGCTCATGTTTCACTGATCTCGATGTGAGAGAATTCTGAGATACCTAGGTGAAATGGAATTTTTCTGGAGAGTGTAATTGTTAGCTTTTTCTGGGCATGCCTAATCTGGGAATATATTAAACTAATATGCAGCCATTAGGTTTTTTTTTTTCTTCTTCTTTTTTTTAACTTAACCTATAGTTTCTTGAACCTCCCAGGTAGAGAATGTAGAGAGAGATGAGGTCCAATATTTAGAGCTTGAGAACATGAGGAGGAACCTCTCAGGAAAATGAAAAGGAGAGACCAGTGATGAAGGAGGGGAAGGTGGATAAGGTGGACAAGGATAAGGTGGTATCCTGAAGGCTAAGTAAAGAATATATTTTATTTTCATTTAATTGGAAGGTTATAAATAAATTAAAATATAGAATATGTATTTTTTGGAATTGTGCACAGGGAATTATATAGTCTTATTTTATGCCTGAGTGTTTGGACACAGCGTTGTTTGGGCATAGGTCATCCTCTGTGAATTATAATTACTCATTCCGGAGCTCTGGTGGACGTAGTGGTTAAGAGCTACAGCTGCTAACCAAAAGGTCGGCCGTTCAAATCCACCAGCCACTCCTTGGTAACCCTATGGGACAGTTCCACTCTGTCTTAAATAGGGTTGCTATGAGTTGGAATTTACTTGACAGCAGTGGTTTTTTTTTTTGTTTTGTTTTTAACTTTGAGTATTTTTAAGGAGTTGGTGTTCTGTTGGGGATTTCTGAGTACCAAATTCTCCAGTTAATATGCTGCACATTTCTAGGATTTTATATTGTTTTGATTATTCTTGTCCCTTGATTTTTCAAACTTGAAAAAAAAATTATGAAGTAAAACATATAGAAAAGTGCACAAAACATAAAATACAGATCATTGAATTATGACAGAATGCATACATACCTGTGATAACAACCACCGAGGTCAAGAAGAACATCACCGGCAGCCTATAAGCTCTTCTTCTATGCTCTTCTAATCACTATCCCCTCCTCTCCCAAAGATAGTTAACCACTATCCTGACTTTCCTTTTAATCATGTCCTTTGCTTTTTATTATCGTGTTTACCACTTAAGCATACATCCGTAGTTTTACCTGCTTTTGAACATTTTATATGTATAGACTCACACAGCGTTTCCATGAGTGCTCGTGAAGATGAGCACATTTTTCTGTATTTACTGGCCACATGACGATTCTCTTTTGTGAAATGCCTACTTAAGTTTATTGTTCATTTTCCTATTGAGTTGTCATCTCTTTCTAATTGATCTATAGGATTTCATTATACTGGCTCTAAGCCCTTTTTTGGTTATGTGTTGAAATATCTTCTACTTTGTGTTTTATCACAATGTTCTCGTTTTTGTTTTGTGTCTTTTGTTGTTGTGGTTAAGCAACATGATTGGATTTTATTTTTTTAAATAGAGTCTGATACTCTGTATTTTAATTGGAACACTTAGTCTATTTATATTTAATGCAATTGCACATATCATCTTACTATTTGCTTTTTCTTTTTTGCCACCTGTTCTGTGTTTCTTTTTCTCTTCTTTCCTTATTCTGAAATGATTAAGTAGTTTTATTACACATTTTTCCCCCTTCCTATTAGTTTGGAAGTTATATATACACTTTTACTTTACTTTTTTTAGTGACCTTAGAGATTACAACAAAGATACTTATCAAAATTTGATGTTTATTGGTACTTTTACCCTTTTCTTGGTAATATAAGGACCTCACAACACTTCAGCTATATTTAATCTACTTCCGACTTATTTGTATTGTTGTCAGATATTTTAATTGTTTATATATTTCAAGACCGACAGTATATTATTGTTATTGTTGTTTTATATAGTCACTATTTATTTAGATTTTACCATGTATTTATTTATTTTTTGTTGCCTACATATCTCTGGCTTTCCATTTGGAATCATTTCTCTTCTGCCTGAAGAACACTCTTTAGTATTTCCTTTAGTTCAAGTCTGCTGACAAATTCTCTCAGTTTTTGGTGACATTAAAATGTATTTCATGTTAATTTTAAATGGGCATTTTTAATGCCATAGATTCTACATTGCCTCTGGGTAAATTTTATTTATCTTTCTTGGCATTATATAGAGCTTCTTGAATCTGTGACTTATTTTCTTCTGTCAATTTTGGAAAATTCTCAGATGTTACTTTTCAAATATGGTTTTGTCTTATCTTCTCTCTCCTTTTCTTCTAGGACTCCAATGTCACATATATTAGACCTTCTTATAGTATCTTCTGTGCTTTTTACTGTCCCCCTTGTATTTTCTGTCCTTTTTTCTCCTTCTGCTGTACTCTGCATGTTTTATTCTAATCCATCTTCCAGTTCACTAATTCGTGTCTAGTCTCATTTTGATTATTGTGTTTTTCAAGTATAGAATTTCTATTTCATTCTTTTAAAAATCTGCCACATCTTTTTTTATATCTTAAATTTTTTCTGTTGAAATTCTCAATCATACCTTTTATCGTCTTGAACCAGACAGAAGGTGTAAGTATTTTGATTGACTAAAAAGAAAGCCCTATTTCCACTTGCTTGTAGAAATTTGCCAGACTTTCCATTGCTGTCTACCCCGCCATCTCAAAAAGCATAATTTTCTTTATAAAATATTTAACTAATTAAATATTGCTAGAATGGATCCTTTGGAATGGTTACTTATAGCTATTGCATCCATTAAATACATCCTTCTTTGATAAAGGTCCTTTCTTAGCAAAGTTTTAAATTGCTGCTTATTTACAATTTTAAACTTACATCCTGAAATTAGCCATGATTGTAACTTATTATATGTAAAAATGATTTAGCAAGTAGTCCAGCTTGAACCTCGGTTTTTAAAGCCATGGTCTTGAAATTTGTGTGTTAATTTTTTTTGGTGTGCTTGTGATTTTGCATGGCAGTATATTTCATTGTATATTTACAGTAGTTATATGATAGTATCAGTACAGTTTTCCCCTGCTGTGTGAAAATAGAGCATTCCTGTGAAAAGTTTCATAAGCCAAAATGGCATAAAGAAGCAGTTACCGTTAATTTATATGGGAAAACATTTTTGAGCTTTCCCAGACCCAAAAAATAACCTACCGAATCATACCAAATAACAATAAAACCTAAAATAACACTAATGTGTAGTAAAAGCAGGAATAATATGATAAATCCACAGCTTATATGTAAGGTAAAAATGTATGTACAGTGTAGTTGTACTTAGCAGAATCGGGAAGACAGCGAGCACACTGGAAGACCGAGAGATGGTTTTGGTGATGATGATAGCCCCAGTAGCCTAGCTGGCAATGGCACATGGGGCTCAGTTGAAGGGCCGGGGTTCAAATCCTGCAGAAGAGCAGGATTTATATTAACTGCTTGCCTGAGGGATGAGTCCTACAGTTAGAGAAATGCACAGGGGA